ATATATATATATATATATGTATATATAATGAAATTCCTTTAATTTTAAGTGAAGTGTCCAAATCCCTTTTTGGCCCACTGTGTGTGTGGTTGTTGTGTATGTGCAAAGTTTGTGTTTGAATACAGATTGTCATGCTGTCCATCTAGAGGGTCACCTGATGTCGGTTTCTCCATGCCTGACTGCTCTCTTTTAGCTCTTTCCCAGTCCCATCTGAGGGATTTGTTTGTGTTGAGGGTATCAGGTTTTGGGGCCCCTTTGAGCAGTTTGTACATTTGGCTAGAATGACTTCACCCTCCTCTGGAATTCCCACGGAATAGACCCTAAACTCACTTTTATGGCATTTTATGGTTTTCCACCATGAGTGCCAAGTCCTGAACTCAATCCAACAAAATCCAGCTTTAAACATCAAACCTACCCAACAGTTAAGCCTAATGTGTAACTATGTTAAATACTCACCAGAGAGGTTTATGTGGATTACCATAGCTGTGACAAGACTTCTGACACCCTCGGGTGAAAGATTTAATCCTAGATTTTGTTTTGACAGGCAGGACAATATGCTGCAGGATTCTGTGCATTCAATTCCAAAATGTAAAAAAAAAAAAGTCTGTCATTATTTACTCACCCTCATGACATACTTGTATACTTTTCTTTCTTCTGTGGAACACAAAAGACGATATTTTGGAAAATGTCTTGGGTGTTTTTTGTCCATACAGTGGAGGTCATTCGGGTCAGATGTTATTTGGATATAAAGTTCTTCAAATTGTTTCACAGTTCAAAGATATGCAGGGTTTGAACAACATGAGGGTGAGTAAATTGCGACACAAATGTAATTTTTGGGTGTACACTACTGTACAATACTTTGCAAAAGTTTGGGGTCAGGATTTTTTTTTTTTATTATTATTAAAAAAAACTTTTATTCAGCAAGTTTAATTGATCAAAACTGATTAAAGACTTTTGCATTATTACAAAAATTTCTGTTTCAAATATTAAATAGCACAACTGTTTTCAACATTGATGATCATGGGAAATGTTTCCTGAACATCAAATCAGCATATTAGAATGATTTCTGAAGGATCGTGTGACACTGAAGACTGGAGTAATGATGCTGGAAATTCAGCTTTGCATCACAGGAACAAATTACATTTTAAAATATATTCAAATAAATATATAAATAGTTATTTTAAGCTGTAGTAGTAATTCACAATATTGCTATTTTTGTTCAAATAAATGCAGCCTTGGTAAGAATAAGAGACTTCTTTTAAAAACATAAAAAATCATACTGACTCCAGACTTTTGAGCGGTGTTTTTAAAACGTTCTTGGAGTTCTGTTGTCAGTCAAATTGTAAGTTATCTCCTTGATTCCAATCGATGATGTCATGCTGTTTGGCTGACAATTTTATGACATTGTGCTGTGAAATGACTCATGCCTTTCATCGTCGCATGTGTCATTGTGTGCTGTGTTGGCAGAGCACAAAGAGCTGCACACGCATCAACAAACAAGCACGAGCGGCACAGCGTCTGGTTTCTTATGCATATATCAAAATGTTGATTTCTGTTTGTCCATCATTGCATTTGTGTGTTCGGTACAGATTCGCTTGGGTATGAAATGAGAACTCTGCTTGTGTATTCTGCGTGATGTCATGTCGCTCACAGATCCTCTTTGAAATGGAATGGAATGTAAAGTCAGTTTATGGCAGCTCTGTCTGTTTGATTGAATGTCTCAGATTAAAAGATTTATTGTTTTTTTTTTTTTTGCTCTTTTCTTTTGTTTCATGATCAGGGCATCACCTTTGAAGAGTTCAGGTCTTTCTTCCAGTTCCTCAATAACCTTGAAGACTTTGCCATTGCCATGCAGATGTACAACTTTGCCTGTCGTTCCATTGGACAAGGTGAAATACCGTTATGCAAATCTTCCCACAGAGCGATGTAGGTATGTTGGGGCGTGTTAGAACGAGCCGTTTTAGGCAGGCGTGGTTGACTCTTAACTTTTATAAAGAATATCTCTTTGGATTTGAGACTTTAGTCTTTGCAACTTTACAGATCTTCTTTATGCACCAAGAGCTTGTAACACTCCAAAGAGAAAGGAAAAATTGAAATCGCATCATATGACCCCTTTAATTACTCACCCTCATTTCGTTCCAAACCCTTCGTTCATCTTTGAAACACAAATTTGAATTCACAAATACTACTGTTTAATGCAAATGTAAATGCACAGTGAGATTTAAAAGTCTGAGACCACATTTAAAGTCTGGGAAATTAAAATCTAATTTTAAATCAAAGAAATTCGTACCAGTTTTTGAAATCAGTGTTTCACTTAAATATAAATATTTTTTAATGCACAATTTTTTTTTATTGAAATAGAAAAATGCAAAATTATTTATTTTAGAATTTTTTCCCCCCCTTTAAAATAAATGGTTTGGACCTGCCACTGTATCCTCAAAATGTACTATGCAAATTAAGAAACCCAAAAATGAGGTGATCATGTTAAATGAAATTTGTGGAGCAAATTCACTGTCCTCTGAATGTGTGTGTCTCTCTCTGTCTTCCAGATGAGTTTGCTCGGGCGGTATATGTCGCAACAGGCCTCAAGCTGACCCGCCACCTGGTTAACACCATCTTCAAGATATTTGACGTGGATCATGATGATCAGCTCAGTTACAAAGAGTTCATTGGTATCATGAAGGACCGGCTGCACCGTGGAGGCAGGGTAAGAAAGAGGTGTAGTGGAAAGAGCAGTGCATCATCCTTTTGAGCTTTCAAATGTAATTGTGAGATAAGGATAGTATCACTGCAGCTATAGCGCCACCTAGTGTTAACTAGCTATATCTGTACAATGAAACCTATACCTCCCTGTAGGTTTTTCATTATCATTATAGTTCTAAATCTGCTGTCAAGTAAACATAACATTTTCTAAGCATTCATTTTTTTTATTAAAATAATTTTTTTATGAATTTTACAAATATTTTTTCCATGTAATCTAGCTATTGTTTGTTGATAATTAATAACAAGTTCAGATTTTTTTAATAGTAATTTTGTCAACTACTGAAGCAATGACTAATTCTCTCTCTTTGTTTCTGCAGGGTTATAAGGCTGTAGAGCGTTTTACTTCATTTAAATCATGTCTGAAGAAGGAACTGGCTGGCAGATAAGTAGCCCTATATACACACATGCACACTTCACATTGAAAAGGTGAAAAGACATTTTTCAAAAAAGTCTCTTATGTTTACCAAGTCTGCATTTATTTGATCAAAAATAGTAAAAATATTTTTACATTTTAAAATAATGTTTTTCTCTTTTAATATATTTTCAAATATAAATTATTCTTGTGATGGCAAAGCTGAATTTTGAGACTCTTGAATTTACTCCAGTCTTCAGTGTCACATGATCCTTCAGAAATCATTCTAATATGCTGACTTGCTGCTAAATAAACATTTCTTATTATCGGTGTTGAAAATGGTTGTGCTGCTTAATATTATTAAAGAACAGCATTTATTTGAAATAGCTTTTTTGGGGGGGACAATTTAGTCTTTATCGTCACTTTTGATCAATTTAATGCATCCTTGCTACATGAAAGTATTGATTTCTCTAAAAAATTATAAATAAAATCTTTCTGACCCCAAACTTTTTAATGGTAGTGTATATATGCAATCTCACCATCTATGTGATAGCCTTTTATTGTCCTCATTTGTAAGTCGCTTTGGATAAAAGCGTCTGCTAAATGACTAAATGTAATATATATATTGTACAGGAAAATCTTGATTTAATGAGTGATTATTTGTAAGGTCAAGGTTTTAATTAGCTCTTTTCCCTTTTCTTTTGCACCAGGTGAACGGTGTTCAAGATGTGTCTTTTCTTTCTCAGAAAGAAACTGATTTGTCTGCTCTGGAAATGTTTGAGAGTGGTTCCATCATGAAATCTACCTCTTCTTCTTCTGATTTTGAAACCTTGGGATTGGGATGGTGTCGCTGCAATCAGCGCTCTGCACTGCATGTTCTAGAATCTGCACAGCTCTGCGTGATCAAACTTTATTCTGTAATCTGCTCTAAATCTTGTTTGCTTATAAACTGGGAGATGGCATTTCAGCTGGTACAAGTTCAATTTTTGTATGTTTTAAAGTTGCACATGGGTGTCCTGGAAGGGTAAAGAGATTTTTAAATGCATTTGTAATGGAAATGTTTTAAGCAGGGATGGCCTTTGGTTACTCATTATGGCCTTTTATTCATTATATTTATACTATATTATATTGCATTGTACAAACAAAGCTATTATTATTATTATTTTGTCATTGTCAGGATTGTTTAAATGTACAGAATCATACTGTGTGAAAAGGGTAACACTTTATTATCATAATCAGAAACTGGGTTTGTAAGAGATTATGTAGCTCATGTAGCATTAAGCCCAATAATAAGCATTGCCTTAATCTAAAATTGTTGTTATTTTTCTCACACAATTGATTTATTTTTGAACAGGTATCGCTGTACAAAGATTGCGCAAGATTGGTTTGCCATCTAAGGCAATTAACATCAAAGTCTAAGCATGCTTTTTAAGACTGTACTGTAATTCAAACACTTAACAAATACAGGCTTGAAATTCCATGAAAATATTATACAAGTCAATAAAGTTGTTTCAGTGTGCCTATGATGCAAGTTTCTCACAGTGTGTTTAAGATTGTCTCCAAAGATTCTGCATGACATATAATCCCCATATAGTCTGTACATAGGTCCTTACATTAGAATATTATTTCTCCATATATGTATTCTGTGCATGGTTAAATAGAATTTATAGAAAAAATAATTTCATATTTATAGAAAAAAAAACGTTGAATAAATGGATAATCTGGTCAGAAATATATTTTTAAGACAAAGATTAAAAAAAAGTTAATGATTTACATTTATTATGATTACAATTACTAATTAAATAAAATAATTCATAAGATACGATGCCAACACCCTGACCTGAAACTTCCAGATACACGAGAATTCGACACAAAATAAGAAACAAAACATACAGGCATAAAATAATTTACAATGACATAAACACGTATGTTTTCATTAACTTTCCTATTAACTTTTTCATTAGTGTTATACGTTTTGAGCCCCGTCCGTGATTTTGAAACGTGCTGCTGGCTGTATTTGGTTATTACGTTTATCTTAAAAAATGTCTTCAGAATAACACAAGTGCTGTTTTCTGGGTTATAACAATTTTTTTTTTTTTTTTTAATTACCTATGAATACAAATCTGAACAGAGTGAACAGCTTTCACTCTTGTCGGAACCTTTATAAAGAGTGGGCGGTTTCGCTCCGGACATTTGTTATTGCTGTACCAGCACTGTATCAACCCTGAAGACACATATTGAAATAAATAAAATGTTTTTTTTATTTATTTATTGGTATTTTTAAAATTCATATGTACATTATTCTTGTGTCAGAAAGTTTAAAATGTTTATATGTGACGTTCTATTTATTTTTATTGAGAAACACATATGCTCTCTCTTGATTGGTTGCTTTTGTCAGGCGCTGTTTCTTGAGCTTGACGTGCATTATGGGTAACTGTATGATTGTTAATAATATACGTTTATTTATATTGTCATTACATTAAAAACAAAGCATTTTTTATTATTTGTATTATATATATATATAACCGGAACGATAAGAACAATGCTACTAATTCCAATCGAATGTGGTTGTTATTGTTGTTTTTCTCATCGATGATAATGGTGAGCACATCTTGTATGTGGAAATGTCTCATTTTAACAGAGAAACCGTGTTTATTGTATGTGAACCGACATAAGTCAATATTTGTGTTATTTACCAATTTTTTATGCATTCACGATCATGAAAATACTAGTGTTTTAGATGTTACTTCCCTAATCGCTGTTTCGTGTAGAGTAAGCTCGAGCTACCATTGATCACCGTCTGTGAGACTCATAGCGTCAGAATCGACCCGAGCTGGTTTTGGTGAGTGAAGGTTAAGACTATACTTTCAGGGATCATTTCTATAGTTCTTAACTAGGAAATGTGTTTCCAAAGAGTTGCGTCTCCCACACCACGATGAAGAGTCTCGATACTCTCTTCTGAGCGTGAATCGGGTGTAGAGTAATGATTTGTTTCATACGCTTTACATCATTGATGAACGTTCCTTACTGCTATTATGTAGTTTGGAGGAAGAGGATATGATCAGAGTGGTTTGGTAATATGTTTTAAAAAGAAAAATTACGAGTTATTTGATATGGGATTTAATAGTGTTCTGTAGTGTTGAGAAGAAGGGTACGATTCGAGTGGTTTGAAAGTCTGTTTTAAAAAATGGAAGTTTATAATATTTAGTATGTTAATTGTAATTTTGCTACTTTAACAAAGCTGTGAAATAGAAGTTAATTGAAGAATATGTGATCATGGTATTTAATGGTACAATAAGCATTACAAATTTTATACGAAAAGTAGGTAATTGATTTAGTATTAAGATTATTATAGAACATATCATATTGATACAAAAAAAATGTAATGAACAATACCAAATTTTAAACCAAAGTTGGTTAATTAAATGTTTTAAATATATTATAAAACATACCAAATTGATAAAAAACATGCATTGAACAATACCAAATTTATACCAAAGTTAGTTTATTAAATTAGTTTGAAATTTATTATAGAACATAGCATATTGATATAAAAGAAATGCATTAAACACGGATCAAGTTTATACCAAAGTTAATGTGAGAACTAGAATGGGTTTGTGAGTTGATAAAAAACAAATAATGAAATCATAAAAATGTTAAATAAACATAATTTAAAAACTTGAACACTAAAAATATTTTTAAAAATTAGGGCTGTCATCGTTAAAGCGTTAACGCATGCGATTAATTAAAAAAATAATTTAACGCAAAATTACTGCAGCACAATTTCTATTCTAACCCTTTAACCCAATTTTGCTTCTCTGCTTGCGATTAGATCATTTTAAGCTGCTAAACTCCGGGAAAGTTTTCAGTCCAATGATCCAGTAAGCGAATGCATTCAAACAATCCGTCCAAAACAGCGCTAATATAAAGGAAACCAGGCTGATTACATCAGAGATTGCAGAGAGAACAGAGACTCGCGCTGCGTTTTAAGTGAATTATTAAATCCAGTGTGTTTGGCTTTTAAACACGAGCTCTGTCATATTCTATGGAAGGCGGAAGGGGTCAAAAGTCTTTAAACGCACATTGTATTTATGCATAGGCACAGACATTTCCGTACATTCACGTTGTTTCCACACACATTCGCGACAATGTTTTGATTTGTCATGTTTATGTTACTGTGTTTAGTTATTCTGAATGGATCCCTGTACTGTAGTAGATATATGCAGTCAGCAGGCGGTTGGTTTAGGGATTTTCTGGCATCTCCATGTGGTCCTGTTTGGTATCGCAACTTGGCTTCTCTAAAATGTAAAAAAGCTCTTTGCTGTTGCACTGTACACATACTATAAAATTCTGATTTTTTTTATTTCATATGTGCTTATACTCCTTATATCATTTGGTTCTTTGGTGTCCTTTTGGAGTTTCTAAGTGTCCTTTTTTGGAAAGACATCTAAATTTATCTAAATTGATAAAATATAGATTTTTGTGAATCACCCTTCAATCTTTTGGTTTACTTTGCTGGATATAGCAAATGATGACAAAATAAACATTTGAAACAAGATAAATGGTCTATGCTTAATTTCATGAAGTGTGCGATTAATCGCGATTAATCACAGAAAAGGGATGTGATTAATCGGATTAAACATTTGCATCGATTGACAGCCCTAAAAACAATATATATTTACCTGCCTGTCAATGTGACCATTAACCGACATCAGCGAATTGTAAACATGCAAATGTGTTATTAAATTATTGGAAATATTAACTTCTTCAGAGACATTTCAAGTAAATATTTTATTTTAAGGGGTTTGGCTGACAAAAAAACATTAGGCAATCCGTATGAAATATCATTAATAAACATGAAAACAACAATGACATTTAAAAATTTAAGAGAAAAACTTATAATGGAGAATTAATAAATTAGGAATAATTCACTGCCATTTTTCCATAAAAAACTAACTGTAATCTGATTATGAGCAGTTTAAAATGTAATATACTCTAATTACAAGTACTTCTTTTTTGGACTTTGGAGTTGCTAGCACTGCTGTGTTTGTAGTGATAGT